TATTTTTGCGGGCAGGGCCAAATGGGCAGGGCAGCATACCGTGCCCGATGCCCAGCTCTACCCAACAGTTTGCCCAGCCCAAACATGCCAAATAATTCTTTTGGGCCATTTTTTTTAGGATGGGCTGGGCATTTTTTTGCGGGCTTAGGCGGGCATAGCGGGCTACTGGGCTTCATGAACACCCCTAATTAAGGCTGAGTTTTAAAAAATTGCAAGATATGAGAGAAGTAAGACTTAGTGTCAAATAAAACTCTTTCCTATTCTTAGTTTTACATAATTAATAAGAATATTTTTTTAAAAAAATATTTATTTATTATAAATAATTAAGTTAAATAATTTTTTAAATATTTACAAATCAGTTATATGTCTCGAGAGGCACAAAACTACCTCTTCTTCTAGGTGATTGATGAAAGGTGTATGCATACCGCAGTTACAATCGCTAATCCACTTTTACAGGAGAGTTCGAGAAGTTAGGCTTGTCAAAAGTGTAAAACCTGTTTCATTGTCCCCCCCCCCCCTCCAAAAGTGATGTAGAAGCTTGCCGATTTGTTCGGAGTCAAAGCACTTGGCTTCTCCAAGGTTTTACTATTTGCTGTCTGTGAATGAATTCCCAATGTCCCAATTACAATAGCATGTTTGGCTCAGTTCATGTTTGAATTCAAGTTATATTGTAGCCTTGTAGGTCTTCCTAAAGAAACATTATTCTAAAACTCCAACAGGATTAGCCTATTAGGATTAAAATAGCTTTGCAGAACAAATTCAGAGTCTCTTGTCTTCCAGTTGTTCAGTTTAACTCATTGGAATAGCTTGAGGTTTCCATTCTTCTTGAACGCAATGGAAGGTACTGCTGCGTCTGTGGCTCTCTTGGACCCTTGTCAGAGGCAAGCCTTAAGTCTGTTAGAGAAGATAAAAGTGTTTTTTATGTACATGGGTTGGGCCAAAGTTGGCCCAAGAAAATAGAAATGGGCTTACTGCTCAAATGCTCAATGGGCTTTTCTCCACAAGTAGAGGTTCAGACCTAAGACCACTCTATATTCAATATGGGTGTCCAGCTTATCTGCTATCATGAGAAAGACAGAAATGGATTACAACAATGAGACTGATCTCTGCTACAAAAAATACAAGCGCATCATCATCTCGACCCTTACGTTCAAAATGCATCAACGGGTCAATCTTATTACGATATAAGCTCCGTCTCATCTCTTAATTCTCAAGGGAAAGGGCATCTTCACGGCTTGCCTAACGCGTGAAACGTTCAAGAGGACGACACCAAGAAAAAGAAATTGGTGGTGGATGATAAGACCATTCGCTCTGCTAAGAGAAATAAATCAAACTACTTTAATTCTATTTTACAGATCACAATAGAGGGCATCCATAGCTGTTACTATTTGCCAAAAGTGACAAGAAGGTGGTTCACATTATTCTACACTACACTCAGTTTTGGTTCAACATCATGGAGCATAGGAGATCCGAAATCACAGCAGTGGATGGATTTGAGGTTGCAAAACTGTGAGGACATCTTGATTCTTGAAGGTTTAGATGTTACTATATTTGGTCTTTAATATTAGAGCTAGATGACAAATTTGGAGAAATTAAACAAAATAGTTAAGTTAGTTATTTGTCACAAATGTGTATTGATTTTTCTAAATTATTCTCTTTAATCATGTGCATTGGGAGATTGAAATTATCCCTTTGTAAGAAAAACCCTTATAATTGATAAGGATATTTTGAAAAAAAAAACAGAGAGACAAAATTGATTGAAATCTTATATTTAGAATCAAATTTAAATTTCAACTAGCTCATATATTAAGGATAGAAAGTAACAATATGTAGAGAAATATTACTAATGACCTGCTAAGACAAGCATGAAACATCAAAATTGGAAGGAAATAAAGTGAAGAAGAAAAAAACTAGAGAAAAAATGTTATAACTCCTGAATGACGAATGAAAAAAAAGAAGAAGAGGAAAATAGCTAAAACCTCGTTCTTACTCTTATATGAAAACATATCATTTTTAAACTCAAGTTAAATATCTCAATGAGATAATGATGTTAACATTAATACCATAAAGTAATTTACAATCAAATTATTTATTTAGTAAATATATACTTTAAAACTAAATAAGTCAGTAAAAATGCTATTTTTCCAACACGTATTACAATTAAATTATGAAAACTACTAATGAATCTACTTTGATTTATAGGCCATTGAATTATGAAAACTAATAAATCTCATTCATTATAGTTAGAAGTTATTTTTTTAAAAAAAAAACTCGTTTCTAATTAATTTACAATCAAAAGATGAAGGATATTATTGGAATAAATTCAGTTATAAATCATTTTTTCCTAAACATTTTATATCATAGAAGATAAAACCGCCCACAAACGTCTTATTTCATTACACCATAATTCTTATTAAAATTCTGTGTTTTGATTTAAATCTCAGAGTTTTCTTCTATAAGTTTCTAGAAGTTTCCTGGCCAAAACAAAGAAAAAAAATCTAGCGATTTATCCCCAAATATCGAAAATCTGAATTTTCTTTAATAATAACACCAAAGATTCCCTTTCTAATTGGTATCAGCAACCCACATCATGGGGATCCGGTTAGAAACCTCCCCAGTCTCCTTCCCATCCTCTTCCCTCATCTTCCCTCTTCTAGCCATAAGATTAGCATATATTTAAATGATTCAGATTTGATTTCATACGAAATATATTTTCTTATTTAATATTACATTATTCATATGAAAATATAACTATTTAAATTAATTAATTCTTATTTTAATTTATAATTTAACTTTTTGATAATAATTTTATAAAAGATTAAATCTGATCCATTTAAATATTGATCTTATGGTTATAAAAAGTGAAGAGGAGGAAAGGATAAGGGAAGAGAATAGAAGAGGTTTCAAGCCGTGCTATTTGCTTCCTCATCAAGTTTTCCTCGATGCCATATATGACGTGGAACTGGGATGACTAATCTGGACGAGTAAAATGGGGAGCCACTTGCATAGATGGGGCCCACTACATAACTGGGTTTGCGCCTAATTAAATTGCTTCCTAAGGGCTAAAGCTTGCCAGGGGCTACTGTGGTTGGAGCTGGCTTTGGAGTGCCCATTGGACCTGAGCTTCCCGGTGATCTTGCCCATCTCTCGTTTATTTACTTGATAGCTGTTATTTTGTATATTATTTTTCCATCGAATTTTTTTGTCATTTCTGTCCAATATCGTAAGTTTATCAAGTTATTATAACTTATAAGAACTCTTTATTCTATACTATAAAATTTCTTTTGTCTTTAGTTTAAAAACATATTTTTCCATCCGTGTCCACATGTGTGGGGGCGCCGCTTGCTCCAGATATCCTCAGGGATTTATTTTTTTATATTTAATTCTCTTGTAGCTTAATTCTAGTCTTTCATTAGTCTTCCATTTCCCCACACTATTCAATTTTGTCTTCTTCTCTCCATTTTCCCTCATATTCTCCTTCCTCCTCTATCCTAGCCTGCCTATATATATCCTCCATATATTTCACCATCTATAAATCCATTTCCATCTCATTCTCATCATCCATTTCAATATAATCTCCACTAGAATCCCTCCTTGATCTGAAGATTCATCTCGGTTTGGTCGCGTGGGTTGCAACTCCATCGCTGTCTCAAGGAGTTTAGAACGTGACCATCATCTTCTTCAAGGCGCTTCCATTGCGGAGCAAGCCAAGAGGATTCGTGGAGTTTTGGTGTTCCTTCCGTCCACGAGAGGCTAGATATCAGCTTGATCACTTGTATTTTTTCTTTCTTGGGTTAAACAGTGGATGGTTACAAGTTGTGACTGTTGTGTACAACTCTAATCCTTAATATGAGCCACTTCTAACACATTTTAACCCTCATTAAAGTTTTTCTTTCTATATTTATAAATCATTCCCATAAATCTCCCTCCTTTCTCTATTTCTAATGAGAATTACATAAGGGTAAAATTAAAAAAAAATCATTAAATATATTACAAATAACTTATATTTAGGATCAAAGTTTCTCCCTACAAATAAATTACATTTATGACCAGAGTGGTAATTTAAAAAAAAAAGTTAACTAACTAGATTGACATACTAAATATGATCATAGTAGTCTCTATAGGAGGTTGATTACGCTAGTCAAATGGATTAATTAAATTTAATTAGGGATTATTACATAGGAGATTCGACCTAGGTTGAATGGCTACTATATATATATATATATATATATATATATTACATATGAGTCAATATTAATTTGGGTGACATTAGACATCAATGTACAAGAGTGTTTGGTTTTGGATTCAAAATTGATTTTGATATAATGAAGATGTTTGGATATTTTTTTAAGAGGTCCACAATTTTAACTACTCTTAATTATAGAAGAATATTTAACCATAACGGTGTTCATTGAGAATTCAGTATAGGCGTAACTCTCGCATATACACTCAATCAAAACTTCACTGCATAATATTAAAACAAAAAGACTAGCTATCAAATTTGAAACCATTCTATATGCTTGTTGAATGACAGAATTTCAGAGTCCCTTTCTCTCATCCTTTAATTAATCACCCCCAAATAGCAGAAAAATGAGAGGTCCATTTTAACTTTGAAAGCCTTGCAGTTAAGACCCAGAGCCACAGTACCAACAAGCTTGAACACTCATAGATAATGCCTGATAGTACAGAATCGCTTCCAATAAAACAATACATATGCAAACTAAAAAACAAAACAAAAAAAGAAGAGTCACTTTCTCTTAATAGCAAATAGAAACATAAATGAAGATAAGACAAAGACAATATATATATACACATCCATTATACTGCTCAAACTCAAAATGAACTACAACACGGTATACAAAGGTAAAAGTGCGTGTATCACGTCATTGTAAAACAGACATTAAAGAGTCACTTCACTATAGAACGTAGCCCTCAACAGATGTGCTAGAATCCTGAAGTACTGGCGTGAGAAGTGACACTAAAAGGGCTGGGCTTTTACTCTAACATCTCTCGCCCTTTAATAAACCCCAAATCGCTGGGAGATCAATGGACACTTTGGCAAATGACATCTTAAGTGTGGCACCTTTCATGAAGCCCATAGCGCACATTCCAAAGAGCCAACAAGCTTTAACACCCATGCGTTTTAATATCCTCTTGATGTCATCACCTATCTTTGCCTCGGCGCAGACATTGTTGGTCGGCTCCATGCTCGCGTCCAGAAGCCTGGCAAGGTGAAAAGCGGAAACCTTCCGTTCAAGAAGGTTAGGCAAATCATAAACCTTATTCTCGTGCTCGCCAGCTCCTCTCTTGCTCCACAACTCAAGCACAGCAACCACATGGCTTGTACAAGACCAAGACGGCATCAAATCAGGGTATCCCGTGTTGCTCAGTACGATGATGCTTGAGTTAGTCTCGGGATTGACCCATTTGTCAGTTTCAAGATTGATGATGGTTCGCTTCATGCCACAGAAGCATTGCTCCACCCCAGCATAGATGTTTCTGTTAGGGTCCAATATTGGATCCATGTTGTAAATAATGGTATTGTTCTTCATCTTCTTAATGTGGTTAACCACAACGGAATTATTATTGCCATTGTTGAAACCAGGGGTCACATATATGTCTGCCTCAGAATCAGCATCTTCAGGGGTATTATTAACTTCGAAACCTCCTAGGAGAGCTTGAGTGGCATGGTTGGGATCAAGCTCAGACACAACCACGTTAGCTCCAGCTTGTTTTAATGCAATAGCGTATTCCTCGCTCGCATCATCATATCCACACACAACAGCTCTTTTCCCAGAAATCATCGTATTTGTGGCTTTCATTATCACCTCAAGAAGAGCATAGGGGCGACCGAGCAAGTTGATGAACTGCTGACGCAGTTAAGCATGCAAAATATAAGATACAATGTTGAGTTTTCCAAAACTAGCAACAAGATAAATTAGGAAATTGCAATAAGGTCTCATCTAAAAGAATTAAATATAAAAAGGTTCATTAAAATTATCAAATTATTCTGAAGTTTCAAAGAACCTCATTGCAAAAAATTTCATTTATTTAATTCCCAAATTGCCCTCATATTTTTTTTTTAAAAGTATGTATTGATAACTGAGAGTACAATCATTAACAAGTTAAGATGTGATAATTAACAACTATTGCGGTAGTATTAACAACTCATGCATTGCACTGAGAAAATGACCCAATTTATAAGGCCAGGCCCTTAAACTGACAGGCTCAGGGCTAGCCCGCAGGCTTTCGGCCTATTAAAAAAAAAAGTTATTTTTCATACTTCTCACATTTTTTATCAAAAAAATAAAAACAAACTAGTAAAATTATTAATAAAAGATATAAATATGAATAAAATTAAGTCACAAATACAAAATATCATCATATCTTAATATCCATCAATATCCAAAAATATGTAAAACATCCATCAACATCTAAAAGTTTTTTTTCTTTATAGAAATTTCACTTTTAAATTTTGCAGTCTAACTATTATTTTACTTTAGTTGGATAAGTATTGTTATTGAAACTCATAAATTTTTAATTCAAATTATAGAAGTATAAAAATATCAATATATATAATATAAATTAAACCATTATTAAAGTCCAAATTAACGTATTTTTTAAAATTTAATTGGATAAATTATTGTTTAAAACCAAATAAATCAAACCATTATGTGAAATTTAATTTCAAAACTAAATATTCAAAAAAATTAATAATATTAGAATTATATAAAAATAAAAAATTTATAAAAGGGCCTAAAGAGCTGGCCCTTGCCCTACAGGCTACAGGATTGGTCCGTTTAAGCTCTCTGTTCTATAGAGCCAGTCTTTTTAATCCTATTTTTAATTTAAAGGGAAAAATTTTAAACCTGATCTTCATAATTTTTGAGTCTAGACAGGCCTGAAAAGTTCAAACTCATTGGATCTGGAAAATTACGGCATGCGAAAGTCGACTTAACTCGTAGCTGCTAGCTGCAAATTCTCAGTTCTGAAACATATCTAAAACTAAACTAGATACTGTTACCGATATTAACCTTGCTCTTGGTAACAGATTGGTTGACACTGATGGCAGGGAAAAAGAGAGTTCCATTAGCTTGCATCTGGTTAAGCCTATCATCACCAGTGGTGGTCTTTACGGAGACACCAACTAGTCTGTCCTTGATCTTGTGATACCTCGTGGGATCCGTCTTCAAACCATCGCTGAGCATACTGAAAACAATCTGCAACTCAGCATCATCAGTGGAAGACGGATCTGGCAACTGACGAGTCTTGGCATAAATCTCTTCGGCTTTGAAACCCTCAACGATGAAGAGGGTAGCGTCAGCACCGTCGTCAACAATCAGATCGGGACCACCGCCAGGACCCCAGTCAAGGGCACGTTCGATACACCACCAGTACTCCTCAAGAGTCTCCCCCTTCCAGGCGAAGACGGAGACGCTGTCACGTGCGATGGCAGCGGCTACGTGGTCGTCAGTGGAGAAGCTTTTGCCGGAGCACCAGCGAACTTCAGCTCCGAGAGCAGTCAGAGTTTCGACGAAGACGGCGGTTTGAGTGACTATGTGGAGGGAAATGGTGATTCTGGCGCCTTTGAAAGGCTGGATATGGCCGAACTTAGCACGGCAGGCCATGAGACCGGGCATTTCGAATTCGGCGAGCTGGATCTTGGAACGGCCGAAGTCAGCCTGAATGGTTTTCTCCACGACCAAGGTCATGGCGGCTGCTGTTGCCGCTGGAGAGACGAAGCTTGTAAGAACAAAATGAAGAGAACAGCGGTGGGCGTGAGAGGCGCGGCCTATGAAAGGCATATTTATAGGATTTCATAGGATCGAATGGACGGTGAGGATTGAAAAGTGGGGTTAGTGGAATTCTTGATCTTATCTTCTCTTTTTTTTTGGGCAGTTGGATCTTATCCTGGGGAATCCTTGTTCAGTGCTGAGGTCCAAAAAGGAATTTTGGTTGAGCGATGTGGAATAGTAACTTCAATATATAAATCACATGACTGTCTTCTTTTGGCTCAGCTTTAATTTATAAATCACATCACTGTCTTTTTTCGGTTCAGCTATATGGGATAGTAAGCGATGATGCGGGATGGTAACTTCGAAGATGCGGGATGGTAACTTCAATTTGTAAATCACGTCATTGTCTTCTTTTGGTTCAGCGATGTGGGATAGTAACTTCAATTTATAAATCACATCACTGTCTGTTCGTTTTTCAATTGTTTTCTTTCCTTTATGCGCTTTCTTCTTTCTCTATTCCTTTTCTCTTTCTTTTTCATTTTAGATTCTTTTCCTCCATTCTTTATTTTTTTACCGCGATAGTCCAGAACTCCTTGCCTTCATTTCAGAGACGCTCGCAGGGTTAGAGAAAAGAGAATAGATCCAGATGAATTGACTTGGAGCTGCCAAGGATAAAAAAAGCGAACTTGCAGAGCCAGAAGAAGACGGTGACCTTTCTTTTTTTCTTTTTGTTTCTTCTTCTTCTTGACTCCATATTTGATAGTTTCCTCTCTTTCTTGTGCTCCTCTTCCCCATTTATTTCTCAAGTCAATCACTTCTCTCATTTTCTCTGATTGTCTTATCTTTATTGTTCTTTTCGTATTCTTCTTTTATTACTTTCTCCTCTTTCAACTTGCTTCAGCGTATCTATTGAGATAACAAGTTTGTATGATGAGGCCTCTTGTGTGTTGTTATTTTTTGGTTTAGTTTATGAATCTACCCCACAAGATACCCGTAGTGCGAGGCAACGTTTCAAACTTGTTAACCCATTTCACATTCATTTCCTTCCTTTACTGCTGTTAAGTGGCGAATTTGTTGATCCATTTGAGATTTATTTCCTTCAAAGTGGATGTTTTTAGCTTGTTTATTTACTTTTATTTTCAGCCTCACACAATCTTCCATGTGTAGGGTGTGTGCCACCAATGGACCCACATGAATCGACCTGTATATGCGTTCATTGTTGCTTTTTTCAAACTCCAATGGACCCACATGAATATGGGTGTCATTGTGTACGGTATATGTTTCATCTTAACCCCACGTGTCCCATCTTTCCGCATGTCAATATTGTGTTTCATTTGTATATATCTATGGAACTCATTTTTCTAAACAAAATATAAATGCTAATATGCTAGTTAACTTTCTCACTTGAATTATATGCTATAAAAGAATATAAAATTTTTTTTCTCAACCAGCATTAAATAAAAAGTATTTATGCATATATAAATATAATAGGTGAGTTTTTAAAGGATATTTTTAAGATCTTAAGTAGCTTTAAAATAGTTTAGAGTAACTTAAGAATAGTCTTAAGTTATAAATTAGCAGATATATTGTGTGTGAATTTTTGTAGACACTTATCCAGAGCTTTGAAAGTAATTTTGTGTGATTATTTGTAAGCTAATGAATAACAAGTAACTTTAAGATTTCTTTCATATACATATTCATTGTTTGCGGGTGTTATTATTGTTTGATAATTTGTAAATTAATTATTTTAGTATGAAATATGCATACATATATATATTTATATGTGATAATTATCAAGTTTCCAATTAAATAGAGCTTTAATGACTATGTGTGTGTCTATATATTTATTTTTACTCATGACTTATGCTATTAAATAATATTTGTAATAGCTAAATATCTTGTTAATCGTAATGAAATGTGTTGTTGGTTTCCTATTTTTTTATGACAGAGAATAATAGTATATTTGCTAATATATTCTACTAAATCATTATTTGTCATGACACATGCATTATGTGATGGGCTGTGATTAGAAGTATATTAGTGTGTTGCTTAATTATCATGTAATATGCCATTACTCGGTGTACAGTCAAGGCTCCTTCTTCCATGTTTTTTAAATTTTTTGTCGAGATTGCATTGGAGTTGTGGGACATGTGACTTTTGTTCTTTTAAAGAGGGAAGCTATAGCCCCAACTTGAGCTCTATACCTTTGGCCAGGTATATATCAAGTATTGGTAAGTTTGGGACAATTTAATTAAAAGGATTAGTTTTAATTAAACTATGTGTTAGCCTATGGCTCTAGTCGGAGGAATAAGGATGGACGGTGACACAGGAGAAGTTGCATAATGCATATATTGTTGTGAAATTTTAGGTTGTAAATGGATATTTACTGGACATGTGAGAATCTAGCATACCTAAAATGTAGATCAATATTTTGATGTCCACACGGAATCCGATCATGTAGACAAAGTCATATTTTGTTATACAATAAGTACACCTTTGAAGAGAGAATGAGAGAATAAGGAGAGAGGAGAGTTGCAGAGGGAAAAATTTCTGATCAGTGTTCAGACTTTTTCTCTCACGTAGACATAGTGCTTTGTTCAGTTTTCCTATAAAACCATTCCCTCCAAAAGACAAAAGGGTTTTTTCCAAGTAGCAACCCTTAATCTTTAGTTTATTGTATTTTAGATCCCAAACCTATGGACTTAGGCCTGATCCACCCTGACTCCAACATCTCCACTCACACTTGATGGATTAGTCGTTATGGATCATCTCTCTCTCTCTCTCTCTCTCTCTCTCTCTTTTTCACAGTAAGTATTTGTTTTAACGCATGGGAAAACGTTGACTTTTTAGGTGTTTGTATTAGAAATCTCTTTTGCAAGATTGATGATGCCTCTTGTCGTTAAAGCACTCAATTAAACTAGGTCCTAATTAATTTGTAGTTTAGGATCGACCTAGGTCATTACTTCCAAGAAGCAAGTTATGGGTTTCTTTAAGTAAAAATTTAGGTGATAAAAAAATACAATAAATTGGACCTGAACTAAAATGTAAAATTCTAATTTTAAATATGCAAGATGCAAGCGTCCTAAAATCTATATGAAAATTAAATTGAACTTAAATGAATGCAATGCAATTTTTGGAGGGGATTTTTTTTAGAAGGAAAATAAAAATGATGAATAAAGAAAATTAACTAGAAAGCAAAGAAAATTAACAAGTAAAAGTTAAGAAGTTTCCCTTCGGTGAGCTAGAGGGGACAACTTAGGGTTTGTATGGATTTAACCTTCATAACCTTAATTAGTTAATTAGACTAAAGGGAAGTGATAAGAGAGTGGAATTAATAAACTTAATTACCTACTTGAAATAAAGGAAACCCTCAACTTCAAAAACCCTTAAACTATTAGAGAACTCGTAACAGTATGAGGCTAGTTAATTAAGCTTATTAAAAACTAATGAAAACAACTCAAATTAATTCTGAAAATTATGTTTGAAATTATCCAATTAAACAATTAGACAATTAACCAACTTAATTAAACAATTAAGAGGTAAAATAACCCAAATTTTGCAATTCAAACCACATTGATAATTAAACTCATAATGAAAACTCAATTATAAATTCAATTAACAATGCAAAGGTTCTAAACATAAATTCCAACAAGTATCTCGGCACAAATAAGATCCAAATATCAACCTAATCTAAGAATAAAAATGACAATCTAGAACTAAATTGTCTCAACAAAAATACAACTTAAAATTATTTAAAACTAAATAATTTCAAGTCCTTGAATTAAAAAGATAAATGGAACATCATTCCTTGTGGTCTTCAAGTGTTAGCCCAAATCTCAAGCCTCCTCTATGCTCTTTCCAAGTTGTCTCCCTAACAAACTGAAGCTTCCATAGTATTATCTCCTCCCTCCACGATGTTGGGAATCACGGCCACCATAGTTAATGAAGAAAGGACAATGAAATGCTGAATTTATGTGGCATGTGGAATGGAGGAGTTGGTGATGATGACTAGATGGCTTTTGTGCGTAGGGAAAGGATGTGAATTTTTGATTCAAATCGTTGGTGTCTGGCGGCTGAATGGAAAAGGAGAGAGGTGATCTTCCGTGTGAATTTTCTACATGGAATGAGGGGAATATTTTAATGGAAGAAAAGAAAATTTTTTGTGGATCCAAAGCTCAAGCCCATAAGTAAGTAATTGACCCACTTGATATTAGCCATTGGATTGTGCTTAAATCCTAAGAAACAATCTTGTACCATTGGATTTCCTATATGCTTTTTCTTGACCTACAAGAGTTTAAGTGCATCTATTAATATAGATTATATCCAAATATAATCAAAAATTAAATATTAAATATGCACAAAAATTAGGTAAGAAATTGCAAAACTTTCTAAAAATCAATCTTTCTAAAAATATGAGACTTGTTTCCAAAGAAATAGGAAAAATTAATTCTAAGTCAAAAATAGGAAATCATAAAATATTCATATTTTCAATCCAAAATCTCAATTTTTATGCAAAATCCAAAAATCAACCAATTTATCCAATGATGCATAAAAATCCAATTAAACTCAAAATTATCATTTAAATCCTAAATTAATGTGGGATAAAACGTATAAAAATTGGGCTTTATCAAAGATCAACATGAGACAACATTTTTTGTGTAGCTCTTGTTCTCATAGTTTTTTGTTAAATCTTATTATGCCTCAGATTGCCTTCCTTGTATCCATAGTGTCCACACTTATGAAACTAACAAAATCATAAGGGATATGTCTCAGACACCAGCATAGGTATGTCTATTTCAAGAAATCTGGCATATCTGGGATGTAGATTAGTATTTTTGATGTCCACACGAAATCCAATCACGTAGATGGAGTCAGATTTTGCTATACAACAAGTACGCCTTTAAAGAGAGAATGAGAGAATAAGGAGAGAGGAGAGTTGCAGA